AAGCGGAAATAAATTATAAAAAATGTATTAAAAATAAACAGTTCTGACAAAACTGATTTATTAAAAAGCATGGACAACATTCTGTTCAATGAAATTAAACAGTAACGTTGACATCTGACCCACCTCCAACAAGGAAAGGAGTTTTTGTTTAGAGAGTAACGTGATACTTCGCGCGTTGTTGTCATTACCGGTGGGTGTGGGTGGCAGCTCACTTGACACTCTGTTGTGAAAGTAATAAACCTTAACCGACCTTGACAGACTTCTCTACTTACTAAGAATAACAAGTGGGGAGAAGTAGTTTAAACAGTCGTAAAACAATTGGCGGTTCATTAAAGGTCTCTCCCTGTCTACTCACATTACCGCAAGAGCAATAAACACTTAACACTGGACTTTAAAACACGGTCAATTCCTATCCGATTACAAAGGAACCGACGACAATCGGTGAAAGTTGAGATAATCTATTGGCAAGAGAAAGCTGATCTGTTTATTTTAAAGCCGTATCGTCTCTAATTACAAGAAAATAAAGTAATTAAAACATTATAAATAAACAAAAGTATCAAAATAGCAGATAGAATCATAATTTCTGATAATAAGGGCCGCGATTATACGATTTTAAAATAAAAACGGCAAACGCTAAGCAGTGATGAGCGACTAGTAAGTCAACCCGTATCACGCTTGACTGCACACAGAAGCCCCTCCGACTCGATTTCCTCGCCCCTATTACGGCGCAAATCGGATCAGTCCACTCCAAACACCTTTGATAACAGGTAGGACGTCCTGGCTTATCAAGTGAACTTCTTCCGCCCATGCGCAATCGATCGACTGTTAGACAAGCATTATGGTCGGACGTGTACAACTGTCTAAAACAGACTAAGTGGTTTCATTATCATTTAATTGATACCAATACTAATAATTTGCTTTATTCTTTTGATATAAAATGTAGTGACTTCTGAATATTTTGGAAGTATTTTAAAAAGTTTTTATTAATAAAATTATCCATCTATTTTTAATATTTTTATGAAATATAAGTATTGCCTCTTGACATATGTCACTTTTAAATTGTTTGTTTTTACAAATTGCTCTACTAAAAATTACTTTTTCATAATTTTAGAGAAATTTTTTTTAGCTTTTGCTAACAATTTTGTAAATTATGATGGAAAAAGTCTATACAAAGATAAATAATTAATAATGAAATCAAATTTTTATATTTTTATGAGAGGATGAAAAGAAAACAAGTTTTCATACCTGTTTGTTGTTTATATTGATACATTTTCTAATTCATAATTTTAAGATATTACTTAGTTTTTTCCCTGGTTTATTCTCAAGAAGAACAATTTTTACTTCTTTGAATTTTCTTTTCTTGTCCATTTTTGGGAAATTTCTAGCAGAGATATTTAGCATTGCCAGAAAATAAGTAATGGGGATAAACATTAAAATTAAAGCCATATTACAAGGATTGATCAAATGAAACCCATTCGTGCTGTGTTATGTGGTCTGGTGTAAGGGGGAAATAATGCCACATGTGGCATGATAAGCATACACCAATGAACAAGTGGGAAAAAGTTCAGTCATCTCACATGTTTTATTTTTGGCATAGAATAATGAAAACATGGCTAGAGTTATTCAGAATTCATCCAAGGTCAAAATGTGGTGCCAACCAGTAGACAAGCAAGCATACAATGGAAATGCCCCAGTTCATCAACACAAAAAATTCAAGTCACAGGCCTCCACATATAAGGTTATGATGAGCACATTTTTTGAATTGCAGGACCTTTGCTGGTGGACTTTGAAGGATCCTCACATGAGTATCAATGCCAACCACTGCAATGCAACATTGGACAAACTGCATAAAGCCATAAAGAATAAATGATCAGGCATGCTATCATGTGGTGTGATTTTGTTGCACAACAATACTCGATCACATGTTTCAAACACTGTGCAGGATACTTTAACACAAAAAATTAGGAGGTTCTATACCACCCTTCCTTTAGCCTGGTCTGTCATCATGTGACTTCCATGGGTTGCATGTCCAAATGCCTACAGTGACTTTTAACAAACAAAAGTGCATTCCTGCTTTCTCATATATCTTTGTTTAATCATGCCATATCAAGGGATATACTGTTTTGTTTGTCTTAATAAATTTACTCAATCAGGTTTCATTTGATCAATCCTTGTAAAAGTTTGGTTTCTTTAACCCAGGTAATACAAATAGTATCTGCTTCTAATTGATATTTTAATAATTTATATCTCAAGTATATAATTTAATATTTACCTTATTTCTATGATGAGAATAATACAAGATTGAAAAGTTATTTTAATGGTAGCTTTTGAATTTTAAAGTAATTTTTAACAGAGTAATTGACTCCACACATTATATATATATGTTCTCTTTGACACCATGACAGGAGACCTACATCTGACACCACCGAGTCTTGCAGGACTTGGAAATCGCGACGTTACGTCATGCGAGTGGTAGCGGGTGAGCGATTGGATTCAGAGTAGAGGTGAAGAGAGAGATGAGGAAGTGACTCACTCGGATTCCATATTTTCTAACAAATAACAATTTTAATTAATAAGAACTAAATACTATACAGAGATATCGGGCATATTATTGGTCTTAATTATACTAGGCCGTTGAGAGAGAGAGAGTTTACAACCGAATCATGGGTTGATAAATACCTTTCTTCTAGGTCACAGATCTGTAGTAGGATGACACTGTTGACTTCGATGGAATGTTCTCTCAAATTCTGGTCCGTTAACAGGAGCTCGTAGGTGTGGAAGCACGGAAGTGGGGTGAGAAGATTCTTAAAGAGGCACGGTGTTACTTCTGGATTCTGGTGCACGGGTTTTACGTCTGGATTCGGGTTCACAGGGTTAATCCTTGAGGACGACTTTGGTAGAGGGACTTTGGATGACCTCGGGTGTTTTTTTAGTTTTTTCTTGTTATTCTTCTTGGGTTTTTTCCATGAGGTCAGGTGGTTGTTGTTAACGGTCTGGCGTCCAATATAGACACTCTATCGAAAGTTCCGGGTGACACATCGCTGANCACTGCTATTACACAGAAAAACATCTCTTTCCAATTACTTTATAACTAGAAGGAGGAATTTATTTGGAGGAAAAAAGAATAATTTGTTAGATTTTATAGGTTATAGGTTTATATGTAAGAGGTTATAGAGTTTATATATAAAAACTCTATAACCTCTTAAATCTAACAATGATTTTTATATATATATACACACAAACAGCTCAGCATTATGAAATTACATTCAGAATTGTAATTCCTGTCTTAATTACACAGATCTGTAAATTGATGGCAATTTTTAAGCTAGTCTGTGTGCTTTTTTTTTTTTTTTCATAAATTTTGCTATGCAATTTAGAAATGTTATGTATATTTTTCATCATTTCAAAGTTTTTCACAGAATGAAGCAAATTTATACTAGTATATGTTTACTTCCATATATCAGAATGTTTAGTACAAATAAGAACAAAATGTGCTGAAAAATACAGGCTAATGTTAAAACAAAACTTCAAGGAAGTCATGTCTGTCTTAGTTGAAGAGTGTCATACTGTCTTGGAACCTCGGTAGTGGTTCCAAGATAGTATGTCTTGTTTCCTGTAGTGGAACCTCGGTATACAACCTTAATCCATTCCTGGTGTTTGGACTTATACCGAATAGGACGTATACCAAACCAACCTTTTCCATAAGAAGTAATGTAAAAATGATTAATCCATTCTCATGTAAAAAAAAATGGCTGGCTTTAAACACCTCGCTTTCCTCGCTAGTTTCTGCTTGATTTTTCATGAAATCAGCACGTATCCTTTTAACTTTCTCGCAAATAATTTCTTCCGATATGCTGTCTTTGGCACACTGTTTTTCAGTTATCCAAAGCAAAAACAATTTCTCGACATGATCTAATGTCTTCGATCTCTGTTTAGAAATTGATTTAACCCCTTTCGCAACGTTAGCAAATTTAATAATGTCTTTATTTTTCACGATTGTTGATATCGTCATTCTCGGAATATGGAATGCAACAGTTAAATCTCGAACACGCATGCCACCTTCATATTTCTCAACAATCTCTTTTTTCAGTTCCGTTGTGATTCTAGTCATTTTTTTTATTTTTCTGTTGCCCTTTTGCAATTCATGATTAATAAAAATAATAAATTGTTACTTACAAATTAAAATCAGAAGAAATTTAACAATGTTATAAACCGTGGCACTGTGAACGTCTAGTCTGGTGTAGTACACCGATAGCGCTACTTGTTCATAGATGGCGCATTTAATTGAATTAAGTTGTATACCAAACAAAAGTCGTATACCGAGCAAAATTTGTTTCGTTCAAACAGGACGTATTCCGAATTGGACGTATACCGAGGTTTCACTGTATTTCTTTTGCTGACTCTGTTCCAATATGTCAATAATAATGTCATCCTACTTGCATTTTAGTATCTTTTTTCTTCACTTCATTTTTTTTTTTTTAATTTATCTCCAAAATTCCTTACCCTGTTTTGTTTTATTCATCAACACACTAGAACTTTTTTATATCCCTGTAAGAAATTTTAGTTAAAGCTAACGTTATTGATCATAATCTTGGTCTTTCTCAGGCTTTTGACCAGTACAATTCAAATATGGAATGCATCGAACAACATGTTTAAAATGTATTGACATAGGAAACACATTGCTCGTCTGGCATTTCATGAGAAAGTTGAACTTAGCCCTAGCTCTAGTGAAGGCTAGTACCAGTTTCTTATATGACCTAGCCGGCATGGCTTAGAAATAAAATTTGTTCTTACTGGGATATAAAAAGGTTCTAGTATGTTGATTATCCTTCTCAGGTAATAACCTGTTTTGTTTATCTTTTAATTGGTAAGTTAATAACTGTATAAATTTTCTTTATACAGTGTTATGATAATCTTCAAGAAGTCATTAAAACCGAAGAAGGTCTGGGGATTGAATATGATGATGATGTTATTTGTGATGTTTGCAGATCTGTAAGTCTTTTAACAAAAACATTAAAAAATGCTTTATTTCTTATTTTATTGTTGTTCAAAATATTGATAATTCATTTAAATGAATTGTAAACATTTTATTACAGCCAGATTCAGAAGAAGGAAATGAAATGGTATTCTGTGATGCTTGCAATATATGTGTTCATCAGGCATGTTATGGAATTACAAAAATTCCTGAAGGTAGTTGGGTTTGTCGTACATGTGCCTTAGGAATTAGACCCTCCTGCATTTTATGTCCAAATAGAGGAGGAGCTATGAAAAGTACAAGGTAAAACAAATTATTTCCCTGTTGGCTTATTGAATCAATAATACATTTTTGATGCCAAAGGCTAATTTTATTATATTACAATATATTGAAATGGTTTGTTTATTATACTAAACAAATATTAGCACATACTTGTTTTGATTTTAATTTATATAGCATAGTAAAGATAGTAATATTCCACTTACATTAGTTATATGTTCGTGCTTTTTATAGGAGTGGTCAAAAGTGGACTCATGTGAGTTGTGCTCTTTGGATTCCTGAAGTTGCAATAGAAAATGTTGATAAAATGGAGCCAATAACAAAAATAGCAGAAATACCAGTGAGTAATTAAATGAATATTTTTTTAAAAAGTTTGTCTTGTGATTATTTTTTCTACTCTTACAAATTAATTAATTTGTAAGAGTACAAATTAATTACAAATTAATTGCTCTTACAAATTAATTAATTTGTAAGAGTAGAAAAATACAGAAGGATTTATGATATAAATTAAATACAGTTGAACCTATCTATCTCAAACATGTTTATTTTGAAATTTGTTCCCCCTCACATTTTCAGCTTAAATTTAATGTATTTTCTATATTTATCAAAAATAATTTTCTCTGAAAACCTCTTTATCTCAAATTATGGACTGTAGTGTCAAATACAAATTCAAAGGTCAGCATATATATTTTGATAACATAAATTATAGTTGAGAAACATCTTTTGAAATACAGTACTTATTTGCAAGTAACATTGCTTTTCTTTGATTGGCTTCAAGTTTGGCTTGCATCTTATTGGTTGAAGAAAGCCAGGCATCAGAAATTATTGACAAACTATTTCTTATAAGGCATGTCACAAATTTTTATTTCTGTGTAATGTAGATGTGTACTGTACTTGTTATTCTCTTAATGAAATAATGTACTTCCAAACCTATTATTAATACTATTTACTGTGTATAAACCTCTATATCTCAAAACTCGTTTACCTTGAATTTTTTCTTGTCACTCTGAGATTTGAAAAAGATAGATTCAACTGTAATTCATTTTAAAAAGAAATAGCTATTTAAATTTTATTTAGATGTATTAGAATGATATATCTTAGAAAAAGTTTTCTTCTAATTTTTTGTGATTAAAAAGAAAATATTTCTAATATTTGACAACAAACAGAATTATGTTCATATAACAGTAGTTTTTAATATGCATAAAATTTATTTTATCTATAAATTTTTTACAGTAACCAATGAAAAATCGTTCATAATTGATAAAATATAAATTATCAACTTATTCCAAAACCGTGTCGTCTTTTACTTATTCTTTACTTCACAATTGGGTGCATAGGTAGACACTGGGCATCTTTAACATCATATTACTGAATAAAGAGTGATGTTAAAGATGCCCAGTGTCTACCTATGCACCCAGTGAAGTAATGAATATGTAAATTATCATTATTTAAAATTTAGGAAGAACAAGAATATTTATGATAAATATTTTTAATATTATGATGATACTTTTATTAGAAAAAGCAATATTTTTAACTTAAAACTCAAATTAATCATATAAACTTTATAAATTTGCTGTATAAAATTACCATATTGGCCCAAATCAGTTATTCTGAATCACTGTGCCTTGAGATTTTTGAAGTGTGTCACTACTGCAAATACTCATACATAAGTGATGTCAGACAAGTAGTTCAATTAGTTCTACCTTCCTAGGGCTCATTTGGAAATTGTAACCGGTGTTACCAGTAACTGCCAGTTACCAAGGCATTTAGAAAATGTAACCTAAATAACCACCTGCATTTAAAAATTACTATTATGATGTCACTTGTTGTCCTGCAGTACTTATCGAAGTAACCGTGTGTGCTGCCAAATTTTTAAATTATTAAAAGTGAACCATGATGGAAAAAAGTTGAGAATCACTGGCTCAAATATTAGTCAATGTTTTTTCCAGTTTTAAAAGGGTAAAAAAAAATCGTTCTTGACTTGACTTATAAGTTTGATTAAAGTTTCTTTTGATTTCAATAACTATCTATGATACTGTACATGTTGTACAGAGTTAAATTTATGCTGAAATTAGTGTATCAATTGTGCAGTGAGATTATGAGCAGGAATTAAGTGCTTGGCACAATTGTAAATTAGTCAGATTAGTCAATTGTTTTTATCATATTCAACAGAATCTATAACTTCTACAGAAATTTTATTTTGGTAACTTTTATTTTACTCCTATGAATCCCTACTAATCAAGTAAGTAATCATGAAAAATCAGGGAAAGGCTGTTGAAAATTTACCATGAGATTTATTCTGTTGTAAAATGTAAATTTATATTGTAATTATAAATTTATGTATTCAGTGTGGTTATATGCTTTAGACTTTATTAAAAGTAAATAAAAAGCTTTATAAAAAATGTTTTAGACAGTTATAAAAAAAGAATAAAACAAAGTTTTGTTTTTAAAAGCATGAAACTTCAAGAACACTTTCCAGAATACACAAGAAATATGTAAGGAAACATGGCACATAGGATATTTTTATATTTCTTGTATTAATTTTATTTCTATTGATATTTATTTTATTGTATTAGTATAAATGAAGCAATAAGTTACAATTTGTCACTTATAATGTAGGTGTCCAATGCATACATTTCTTTCTATAAAACCCTTTGAATACAATTTTCTTACAGACTAGATATGATTTAAATGCTGTTTTAAAAATTTACTAAGAAAGCAATCAAAAATTCATTAATGCTGATTGATTCCTAGATATTTGTAAATAGAAATTCAAAAAGTTTTATCTCAAACTAAAATAATTTTGAAAAGAAAGAAATGTGATTAAATACAACCAATTTTCATAATCACATAAGTAATAAAAATTCCACATGTTTTTGTTAAAGTTAGAATTATGAAAGATTGTTGGTGAAGATACAGTTATAAAGGCTTTAAGTAATGTTGGACAGAACAGAGGTTGATGATCTGTTCAAGAAGGCTAAAGACTGTAATGATGATAATGACAATGAAAGTGATGAAGTATTGTTCTAATGACTTTCCAAATTTTTTAAATTCTGATTGTTAATTTTTGTATGCAAATAAAATTAATAATGAAAGGTTGACTTATATCTGGGTCCTAATATTTTTCAAAAAGCGAGGATTCCAAAATTGGGAGTCAACTTATATTTGTGTCAGTACATTTCAATTATAGATGGATGTAAAATTACTGATTATTAACATTCTCTTTGTATAACAAATGTAGAGATGTTAACTATAAAAATGATTATAATTTTTTTCACAGATTCAGTACCATGTCTTATTTTACTGTATTATGTAATCAATATAATAATATAAACAGGAGCTTTTATATCTGTTTAATTTAATATTATATAACATAAAAGAGTGAATTTTTTTTGTTTCTTTGCAGCACTGTCATATTGTTTTATCTGTATTTGTAGGAACAGTTGTGTTAGGACTTGCAATGTTTTAAATTTTGTCTTCTTTCATCGCAACTTTTCTTTGGGAAATTTCTTTTTATTTATATACTTTTCTACAAACTTGTTCTGACTTATTTTATAAAAAATTTACATAAGTTTACAAATTTCTTTCAAATGATCCATAAAAGTTAATTTTAGCACTACTGCCTGTGGACGAAGCTGCCATTAAAAACACCAAAGCACATTTAACTTCACATTCAGTTTTTCTATTTTGGAATAATAAACTTATAAAACAATTTAGTTATTAAGAACATGTAATCGAAATAATGATGTACACGTCCGACCATAATGCTTGTCTAACAGTCGATCGATTGCGCATGGGCGGAAGAAGTTCACTTGATAAGCCAGGACGTCCTACCTGTTATCAAAGGTGTTTGGAGTGGACTGATCCGATTTGCGCCGTAATAGGGGCGAGGAAATCGAGTCGGAGGGGCTTCTGTGTGCAGTCAAGCGTGATACGGGTTGACTTACTAGTCGCTCATCACTGCTTAGCGTTTGCCGTTTTTATTTTAAAATCGTATAATCGCGGCCCTTATTATCAGAAATTATGATTCTATCTGCTATTTTGATACNTTGTTGTTTATATTGATACATTTTCTAATTCATAATTTTAAGATATTACTTAGTTTTTTCCCTGGTTTATTCTCAAGAAGAACAATTTTTACTTCTTTGAATTTTCTTTTCTTGTCCATTTTTGGGAAATTTCTAGTAGAGATATTTAGCATTGCCAGAAAATAAGTAATGGGGATAAACATTAAAATTAAAGCCATATTACAAGGATTGATCAAATGAAACCCATTCGTGCTGTGTTATGTGGTCTGGTGTAAGGGGGAAATAATGCCACATGTGGCATGATAAGCATACACCAATGAACAAGTGGGAAAAAGTTCAGTCATCTCACATGTTTTATTTTTGGCATAGAATAATGAAAACATGGCTAGAGTTATTCAGAATTCATCCAAGGTCAAAATGTGGTGCCAACCAGTAGACAAGCAAGCATACAATGGAAATGCCCCAGTTCATCAACACAAAAAATTCAAGTCACAGGCCTCCACATATAAGGTTATGATGAGCACATTTTTTGAATTGCAGGACCTTTGCTGGTGGACTTTGAAGGATCCTCACATGAGTATCAATGCCAACCACTGCAATGCAACATTGGACAAACTGCATAAAGCCATAAAGAATAAATGATCAGGCATGCTATCATGTGGTGTGATTTTGTTGCACAACAATACTCGATCACATGTTTCAAACACTGTGCAGGATACTTTAACACAAAAAATTAGGAGGTTCTATACCACCCTTCCTTTAGCCTGGTCTGTCATCATGTGACTTCCATGGGTTGCATGTCCAAATGCCTACAGTGACTTTTAACAAACAAAAGTGCATTCCTGCTTTCTCATATATCTTTGTTTAATCATGCCATATCAAGGGATATACTGTTTTGTTTGTCTTAATAAATTTACTCAATCAGGTTTCATTTGATCAATCCTTGTAAAAGTTTGGTTTCTTTAACCCAGGTAATACAAATAGTATCTGCTTCTAATTGATATTTTAATAATTTATATCTCAAGTATATAATTTAATATTTACCTTATTTCTATGATGAGAATAATACAAGATTGAAAAGTTATTTTAATGGTAGCTTTTGAATTTTAAAGTAATTTTTAACAGAGTAATTGACTCCACACATTATATATATATGTTCTCTTTGACACCATGACAGGAGACCTACATCTGACACCACCGAGTCTTGCAGGACTTGGAAATCGCGACGTTACGTCATGCGAGTGGTAGCGGGTGAGCGATTGGATTCAGAGTAGAGGTGAAGAGAGAGATGAGGAAGTGACTCACTCGGATTCCATATTTTCTAACAAATAACAATTTTAATTAATAAGAACTAAATACTATACAGAGATATCGGGCATATTATTGGTCTTAATTATACTAGGCCGTTGAGAGAGAGAGAGTTTACAACCGAATCATGGGTTGATAAATACCTTTCTTCTAGGTCACAGATCTGTAGTAGGATGACACTGTTGACTTCGATGGAATGTTCTCTCAAATTCTGGTCCGTTAACAGGAGCTCGTAGGTGTGGAAGCACGGAAGTGGGGTGAGAAGATTCTTAAAGAGGCACGGTGTTACTTCTGGATTCTGGTGCACGGGTTTTACGTCTGGATTCGGGTTCACAGGGTTAATCCTTGAGGACGACTTTGGTAGAGGGACTTTGGATGACCTCGGGTGTTTTTTTAGTTTTTTCTTGTTATTCTTCTTGGGTTTTTTCCATGAGGTCAGGTGGTTGTTGTTAACGGTCTGGCGTCCAATATAGACACTCTATCGAAAGTTCCGGGTGACACATCGCTGACTAGCTGGATCCTCTTCAACAAGGAACCAACTCCGTGGGAAATAAATTTTTATGGCTTTTAGCCTAACTCTCGATTTTATATGATAAAATGTTTTAATAATTAAAATTTAAAATAACACTTTATTGTGGGTCTGTTCGTCCCTCACATCTATATATATGAGTGAAACAAATTTTACAGTGTAAATAAACAAATAAAAATTGTGATTATAAAATTTAAAATGCAAAGGACAATATGCAATAGAGATATCTTTACAAACTTGAATATACTCAGCAGGAATATTCATAACAATAATAATACTGATATGTTATTAGAGACTGTCTTGTCTCTTATGTATAAACAAGTACTGTATATTTCCGCAGATAACATGATAGTTGAATCATAAAAAAAGATTCCCAAATCCGGAGTTTTCTTATAGGACAGATACAAAAAAAAAATTAGGTTGAAATTTATATAAATTAAAACCATTATAAAAAAACGGACAAACTGTAATTATTTACTAGTAGAGAGTAGGGTATGTCCACAAAATAGAATAGCCCATACAATGTTTTTGTGAATAGTCAAGGTCATTACTGAATGCCCAAATCAGTGCAAATGTTTGCAACAATCACAAGGCAGTGCTGCCAAATGCAAGAAAATAAAATTTATTAATTTGAAAAATTACATATAGGACATAATTCCATATATGATCAAAATATTCACTGACTTTCAAGTTTTAATTTAGCAGAATATTTACATGTTTTAGTTTATTTGTTTTAATGTTTTACATTGATTTGAAGCAATGAATTGAACTAGATAATATTTTGTTATATAAGTAATAAAGAAAAACATTATTCAAAAGAACCAAATACACATATTCACATAAATGTACATAAGTGATGATAAAACTATAAAAGAATATGTAAAAAACAAAGATTTCCTTGAAAAAACTGTATATTAATGTATACTATTCTTAAAAGTAATTTTTCTTAAAATTTATGAATTATTAAAATTACTAATTATTAAATTATAAATCATGAATATTTTTTCCAGGCGAGTAGATGGTCTTTAGTTTGTTCTTTGTGTCGAGAAAAAATTGGAGCATGTATTCAGTGTTCAGTAAGTATTACTTTTTTGTTTACATTTAGATGAGATAATATAGTATTAATTTATATTTATAAATTAATATTCTATTATAAAACTGCTTACTTGAAACCATTTAACCAGAGTAAAAATTGTTTCTCAAGTGCAAACATTTTCAATGCCCTTCTGGGCTGTCAAAAACATTTACCTTCTAAGGAAGATCAAAAGTTTAGAAACCAGCTTGCAACAGTTTGGAAAGAATGCCTGATAAAGAGCCCAGAAGGGGTGTGAAAATGTTTGCACTTGAGAAACAATTTTTACTCCAGTTAATTGGTTTCAAGTAAGAGGTTTTATATTTCAACCTGGTGTATTTGAAGGTTAAATAATATTATATTATTTCATTTAATAGCCACATTCAGTAAGAGAAAATCAAATAATATTTAAAAAAAAAAGACAATTTCAAAAGTTGACAGATAACATGATCCAATTTCTTACTTGGTTTATATTTGATAATTTAGACATTTTGCATTATCTTCACCAATGTCCAGATCATATGAAGTAGTATAGTGCAACACAAAATTTCTTTTAAAATGCAGTTTTATTTTAAGGTTACTTTTGTCTTCATTCTGTTTCATTCAGTAATTAAAATGATCCTGATTTACTTGGTGCCATAATAATTACATAAAACAAAATGCATAATTCAGGAAGCCAAAAATATTTCTTCATAGAAATATTTTCATTTTTAAAGACCAGATTCAGATCTGCATTTAGGAATATATTTCAAGTCTTTACCAAATTGAATCAAACAGCTTTTTAAAATTAATATTAAATGAATTTTTGGTTTCCTGAATTAAGCAGTTTGTTTTAAGTGTTCATTCAGTAATATACTTTGTTCCTAATATATTGAATTATTCTCTTATGTTTCATCTTACACTCTTAATTATATTTTGATGTTAAAAGTTGTTTTTTTCCCTATTATATTAAGTTTGATCTTATTTTTATGATTAATTAATTAAAGCATAATTTCATAAATTAATTACAATGGTGCAACATACTTCATATTTAATTCATTTCAGGAAGCAGTTCAAACTAGATCATTCAAAGTCTGAAGCCATTTTTCTCCTTAAAATTAACAGAAAGTGAATTAATCCTTTTCCATAACCTAAACTACTCATTTTGATAAATTTAAAACAGCAAATATACATAATTTAAGTAAAAATAACTCAATGAAATGCTCTAATAATAAATTTAAAAAAAAGTAAATAAAATAAGTAAATACTGTATTATAAAATAAAAATTGCATTTATTGGTCACACACCATCGACTTTGGCACTTAAACGTGGTTGCCAGATTTTCCATATTACAAAGGAATTACAAAGCACTTTTGTGCTTTGTAATTCCTTTATTGTTGATATTCTAACCCTTCTCTTAAGCTTCATTGCTTCTGCACACTTATTGGATGCTATGATAAATAAGTAAAGGTTATAGTGGGTTGAACAGAAAGTTTTTGCATATTTTTAACAGTTGTTACTTAACATAGATGTGAATTTAATTGTAATGGTTGTGAAATTTAACACATTATTGCTAATTTGAGATTGTCGTTTTTTTTAAAGAATGAGTTTGTATTCTTTATTCAGAAGCCTATTTTACACTTCAAGTGCATTTTTCACTGTGCTTGCAGTGGAACTTTGAAGCATCATTTGAACTCCAAAGCAAATTTTTGTCAAATTTAGCATTTATACAAGGTATCACTGCATTTATAATCTGATATTGAAGTGTTTGCTCTGCCAGTGAAGCACCTTTCAATATGATATATGTATTTATATCAGTTTCATACTTAAATTTATAGAAAAGATATTCAAAAACTGGTATATTTATCATGTACATGAAAATTTATTATTTCAAATGTAATTAAATATTGAAATGCTATTAGAAAAGTGTATGTTTTTCATTTAAAACATTAGGTTATTGTTATTAGATATATGCATTAATAAAAATATATTTGACAAACATGACTTTTATAGATTTAAATCAAATGATTCATTTATTATATTAGAATAAATGTATTTATTGTGGAGTAATTTACAAAATTATGTAGAAATTATAAAATGAATGTCGTGTAATGTTATATTGGTCTTATTAATATACATATATAAACCAATTGAGAATATCATTAAATATATAACCTGGGGAAAATACAAAGGCAAATCAAAAATAAAATAAATTTATTAATTATTTACTATGCATCAGTCTTTCAAATGAAAACTGCATCATGTTCCAATATAATTACACTTTTTTTAACACATAACTTGTATTGCTTCACAAGCTTTCTGGTTTCATCTGTAAAGAATTCATTAGTTTTGGTTGAAGCTATATATGCATTATTTCCTTAACTTCATTATCATTGACAAATTTGTGTTCCTTGTAAAATTTTTAAAAAGTAGTCCAACAGATTAATGCTGGGACCATGAGGATATGGACAAACTGAATTTCAGCTTCTATGTTGTTTAACTGATAGCTATGGTAGAACAATGACATGTATTGTCATGCAGTAAAAGAACTTCAAGTATCTATGCTTGATTGTTATCTATTACAGATTATTAGCTTCATATTTGATTCTAATATTTCTCTATACAGTATAGCAGTAACAGTCTGACACTGAGATTGGCATCATTTATCAGCAGAAGCCTGAGATTTGAACTTTTTTGTTTTGAAATGAAAGTGTTTTCATTCCATATTCTGCAATTTGAAACATGGTTTAAAGACCAATATTTTACATACTTCAACAACTTCTAACTGCATAATGGATCATTGCTTCCTGTTCCATATTGATGTGACTCAAATAATGACTCTTTCAAAATACTTAATGTGTATGTATTGACATAATCACTAGATTTCACATTGTATTGGTCAATCTTCTAGATAAATTGAATTTTCTTTTTGCTCTCATAATTGTTATTAAGTAAATGTTGAAAACAAATTTCTTAACATTCAAAGAGTGTTTAAGTTTTGTTATTTTTGTATTAAAGGTAGCATCTTTAAAATTAGCATCTTTAAAAGTCAGTTCTGTGAAAGTTTTACTGACATTCTCATTTAATACATTTTTAAATATAAGGTACTAGTTTTTCTTAAGATGGATATCTCAGGAAAATATTTCTTTTTATTGAATACAAAGAAACTAATGTTGATAAATAATTGTGTTAATAATTATTATGTTATTCATTTCTAACTATTCCTATTTTCTTTTAAGGTTAAAACATGTAAAACAGCTTATCATGTAACATGTGCCTTTGAACATGGACTTGCAATGAAAGCTATCATTGATGGAGAAGAAGAAGAAGATGATGTTGATTTAAAAGTATATTTATATATATAAATATTTATGTAATGTGGTTTGGAAATCTATATGCATAATTACTTTTATTTTTTAGTCATATTGTTCAAAACATACCAAAGAGAAAAAGGGTCTTCATTATGATGATGCAAAGAGTTCAGTAGATAGGAAGAGCAATAAAAGAGAATTAGAAATGTCAAGTGAAGAAAAAGCCAATGCTAGAATGGCAAAGTAAATATAACTCTTTTTAATACTTTATTACTATTATTAAGAATATTTATTACTATACTCAATAATAATGATGATATGGTTTTTTTTATTAAAGTGATTGTAACATCTTTGGTTACACACATAATCTCCAGTAAATGGCGATAAAAATATAATGCTTTTTCTAAAGGAAAATACTTTTCAAAAAATAAAACAAATAGAAACAAGCAATTTTTTTTTTTTGGTTAGAATAATATTTAATTCTTCTATTAACTTACAGTTCAGAATTTTGAATCAAATTTATTAATTTTCTATGAATTTTAAAATTGCAGAAAATTAATGGATTTGATTCTGAACCAATGTATCAATTGAATGTGTGAAGGTAAATAGTGACTTTGTGAACAGCTTACAATACCGTTTGGTTAGATTTACATATAAAACTTTGACTAAGGTTATATGTTTGAATAATATGGTAGTTAAATCTCCTAGCTTTTTGATTTTTGTATTTGCAAAAACACGCAAGCTGGAGAAACAGCTCATACCTATCAGGGCTGCAGATCAGTAAAAAAAAACTCAACTGTGACTCCTGGGGCCGTATTCTGGTCACTGTCTCTCGTCTCTTGAAAGCCGGTCGCTGATTGGCTAATCATTTGGATTAGCCAATCAGCGACCAGCTTGCGAGAGACGAGAGACAGTGACCAGAATATGGCCCCTGATAATTTTAGTAGGCCGACTCTGACTCCTGACTCCAACAAAATTAAATACCAAGTCATTTTATGGGGGACGGAGGTGCTCATAGGGGTATCCTACTCTGAACTCTAAAAGGAGCTCCAGGCATTTACCCAAATACTTTACATAGGCTGTTTTTCAAGCTTCGATGGTCCATAAAAAAAAAGACAAGTATAAATAACAAAATGAATTTATTACCAGAAGTTAGGTACAGACATGGTTAATTTTCGACATAATCACCATGAAGATTGAGGAATTTGTCATATCTGTGGACAAGCTTTTTCATTCCGTTATCATAGAATGTTGCCGTCAATGACTCGAGATGGACCCTAATGTTTCTTTGAAGATCGTCATTAGTCTCAAACCTCTGCTCTCCTAGCCACTTTTCCTGTACAGGAAAGAGGTGGAAGTCGCTCATGTTGCTGCCAGTGAATTGAGATGGCCTTAACGACGTTGTTTTGAAGTTCATCATTAATTCATTAATCTCAAACCACTGCCCTGCTAGCCACGTTTTCAGTTCAGGAAAGAGGTGAAAGTCTTCAACACCTTTAATTAAATATCCAGCGTATAACCCCAATTTAGTGCCAAGCGACTTCCACCTCTTTTCTGTACAGGAAAAGTGGCTAGGAGGGCAGAGGTTCGAGACTAATGACGATCTTCAAAACAACATTAGGGTCCATCTCGAGTCATTGGAGGCAACATTCTATGACAAGGAAATGGAAAAGCTTGTCCACAGATATGACAAATGCCTCAATCTTCACGGTGATTATGTCGAAAAATAATAATGTCTGTACCTAACTTTTGGTAATAAATTCATTTTGTTATTTACACTTTTCTTTGTTTTATGGACCATTGGAGCTTGAAAAAAACTGCCCTCATAGTTAGTATTTTTAATATTTATTTGTATAAAAAAATGAATTTTTAACAAATATTTAATAAGAGGAGAAAGCAGATGATAAAATTCTACATCTACATATATTCGACAGCATTTGCACTTCAATTTTACCCTTCCAGAATAGTTAATTCAATTTAAAAGTGTGCGATCTAACTACTTCAGCCCTTTGCTCAGAAAAGAAAAATGTGAACACTAGTCAATTAGTCTGGCTCATTCAGAAAAATAGAGTACTTCTATAGAGCAGGGATAATAAAGGAATGATCCAAAATATTTAAATTCAATTGTGTCAAAATAATTTTACTACTAAACACAAATACAGTACTACAAAGAACACTACATATTTAATAAATTAAATTGATGTATTAATAAATATATAATAAATTTTCTTTCATTTAAATAAAAAAAACTAAAGTAAATTTAAAATGCAGGAATCAGAGTCAGGTCGACTCCGACTCCTCTGGCCAGAAATTCCTCCCGACTCCGACTCCACAGCCTTGATACCTATAGTAGATAAGGCCAGATCTCCCACATGTCTATTAGAAAAAGGATGCATATAATCTTGGATGATTATATGAAAGTTTACGAGTTCATGATCATGGATCTACAAAAGTTAGCAGTGAAATTAAATGAACTTATATTATCTGATGATGAGTATATTATAATGTTAGATTTTGTTTCAAAACACCAGTGTATAAACTATTGTGTAATGGTGAGGATAGTATAGATTTATCCAGAGAATCAGGAGTATATCATATGCCAGTCAGATGAGATTTGTGCACAGTTTGGTGTGCATTAGCTTTATCAATAGATTACTCAACAGTAGAATAAAAGAACATAAATATAACATTGAAAAAATAAGCTGATCATTACATTAATCAGTTATGCCATAAATGTGGAGTTAAAGCAAATCTTAGAGGCAAATTGATTTTTCATGGCTTTAACAATGACCATATAGAAGCTTTAGATATTCAAATATGGAGATATTCAAAGTGACAATGAAAGGAGACTGCATCAATTATAAGGATGGCAAATCATTATTAGCAGCTTGGCAGTCATTTTATGATAATCCCAGACAAGGCTTAAATATGATGGTTAAATGTGATTTTATGATTTTATTATTGATCTGTATATAGAATTAGTATGACATTTTTATAATTTTAATATCTGTGAAATCCTGAACTTTAAATATGTAAATCAGTTGATGGACACTTTGGCATTCCAAACAGAATGTATGAAATTGGTGTTAAGATATTGATAAGACTTGATGCTAATCTATAAATTAGGCTGTAAACATTTATCTATTTGTTAAAACTTTTGATAGAAAAGAAGAAAGGGTTTGTTGGTTCTGTTTATGTTGTGTATTTTTCTTTTGATTAAATCATTTTAGAAAGTTTCAATTTTTAATATATTTGTAAATATTTTATATGTATATGTTTAAAATTATAATAAAAGTAGTGATATTATTTAATTACTTCAATCAATCATATGAATAATTTTTAATTTTTTTTAATTATAGGATGCAAAAAATGGAGGCAGAATTCTATAAATATGTTAATATTAATGAAGTTGCTCAAGCTTTGAAATTAAGTACAACAGTTGTTGATTTTGTTTATCAGTATTGGAAATTGAAAAGAAGGGTAAGTTAATTAGCAGTTAGCTTTTAAAATCCAAGTAAAGTTCCTTGCATGTGCGTTTAATGTAGCAAAAGATATTTAGGAATTTTTTAAGTTTTTTTTTTCCTTATACATTTATATGGATTTTATCAAAATGTCATAATACTAATAATAAGTATGCTTTTTAAAAAATTTCTTTTAATGAAACTCTAGGATAATTAATTGATGAAAAGTTTAAATGTTAATAATGGAATTTCTTAAAGAAAAATTAAATATAATTATAATTACATGTATTGAATAACAATACTTAAATATTCAATATCTCTGTACAGTTTTGAATAAAATTTTAATTTATTTTTAGGCCAATTTTAATAAACCATTAATTATGCCAAAATCACAAACAGTAGAACCTGTGGAAGTTAAAGAATATGATAGTATTTATGCAAGAATGAAAATGTTTGTTCACTTACGACAAGACTTAGAAAGGGTAAATTTTATGATAATTTATTGTTATTATAGATTATTGAAACTAGTTAAGATATAAAACTTTAAATAGCTTTCTAATAATCATACAGTTTCAAATTTCACTTACTATATATTAAACCTTCAAACTATCAAGATATTTTTTGTAGCACAAATTACAAACAAGGAGCATTGTGATCACCTTCAAGAAATAACTATATTTGTCAAAAGGAATACAAATTAATGTTGAATTGAATGATAAACATTTATGTAGCCAAGAAAACATGTTTATTTTTCAGTTTAATTAAAGTACAAACAATGCTATTGTATTGCCAAAAAATTATACCTATACACTATACAGTTAACAACATGAAAATACATACTTCTTGTTCTTAATTGCATATATATATATTATAACTTTGTCAAATTAGACAAAAACATAATATATGTAACAACATTAATATATGCACTGAAACATCTACATTGACTCATGCACTCTCAATAAGAAACAATAACTTAAAAAGTCCAGAAAAAGCAGACAACAACCTCTTACAATACTGCTGGCTGAGCACAATAAGTCAAAACATTTATAGACTGTTTAATAATTATTAAAATAGAATAGATATAACTTATGAGTAAAGGTTTCTTCTTCCAATAGTGAGACTACATAAATAAAGTGAAGAACTACACACTTTATTCACCTAGGTAAATAAAGTGGATTGTTTTAATCTTGGGTTCTGTTTATTATGGATATTTAAGAAAGACGTGATAAAGATCACTAGTCTCACTATTGGAAGAATAAACCTTTACTCAAAGTCAAAACATTATTAGTATCTTTTACTAAGTGGGCTCACCAGAAAAAAATTTTTGAGAAATTATATTTCCATAAAGTACTCAAATTAAATCACCATAAACTGTATGCTTAAGCTCAACATATTTAACAAAAGTTATATTTTTCAGAATATTAACTGCACAATTAATAGAATAAATAACTAAAATAAGACGTGGTGGGTACAAAGTATCATCCCTTGGTAATATGAAGATTAAGAGTTTTTAGTAATTGTCTATTACTAAACACACACTTAAATATTTATAATTTAGTAATGGACAGCACGCTAATCGTTTATTACAAAAACTTTTAACATATAAGCGTTAATTTAACGCTTATATGTTAAAAGTTTTTGCACTTAAATATTATAACAAGCATTATCTTATGTAACAAGAACTATATTATTTAACCAGATATGTTTTTCTGTAATTTTTAGTTTTTGAAAATATTATTTACTGTTTTATGGTTGCAGAGTTAGAATATAATGACTAAAATAAACTGTATAACGATTTAATGTACTGTTTTTAACTATTAAATTGTCTTAGTCTAACCATTCAATATTATTCATCATCACTTCTGTTAAGTGTAAAAACAGAAATGTTTATTAACTTTGTATTGTGATGGAAAGACAAAGCTAAAAGTTAAATATTTTATCTTTGTTTTATGTTTATTGATATGTACAATAAATGAATTTCTGCTTGAGAAGTTGTATCACAGCTTAAAAAACACTTATTTCTCTATTTACATGCATTAGAAATATTAACCTACTATTGTATGTTGTAATATATAAATATCTAAATTTTGTTTAGAGATAATTATAATAATTTGATTAGAAATGCTAAGAAAATAAGTGAATGAAGACATTTTATTATATTTGAGACCATTTTTTAAGTGTATATTCCATAATTTGCATGGTGTCAAATTAGGATATTATGTTAGTATCTGCAGTTCTATTTCATTAGAATTTTTAAAATTGTAAACATTTTTGATTTTACATTAAACAAAGGAAAATTGGAAAAAATGTGCTTTGGTTAGATAAATTAAAACGTAACATAGATTATAATAATGTAATTTTTCAGTTAACAGTGTGTAAAAATTTAAAAAGATACAACTGTTAAAGCCAATTTGGATATTCCAGAAATCTGGATAAACAGGATTTGACTGTATAAGGAGTAACAAGAATTTGCATTTAATTTATAGTAAAAATAATTATTATTTAAATATTAAAAATTAATTGGCAATTCTTCTGTTTTCTGCTGCTGCAGAAAACAAGAACTGCAAATTAAAGGGATTTTAATTTCAATACAATGTGCTCAATGTAAAGAGAATGTCAAAACTTTAGTTCACATATTTTCTCAAAACTCTCAATTTGACTAACATTTTTCACAACTAATTAGTCAAATTGCTAAAGAACTTTTCCAGACAGTGGGTACTTTGAACAAGTTACACATTATATACAGTACAGAATTTTATGCATTTTATTCATTGTTCTGTAGGTTTTTTCATAAAAGAGATAATTAAACATTATAAATAATTTTTGTAAAGTTATCAGAAGTTATAATAATTCTATTTATCTAGTTTTTCTCTGGTAGGTGCCTAACTTTTGGTGAATTTTTATATCAGAAAAAATTCAGATAATTTTAATTTGATCCTTTTTTTAAATTGACTAAAGAAACTATGGCTACACTTAATTAAAGCATAATTTAGCCATCGTTTACTGTTATCTTTTTTCATATGGATATCAATGCTTAATAATACTTTTCACTTGATCACTGTCCAGTTATTTTCCTCTTTTAGAAGAACTGTTTTAAGAATTTGTGTGTATTTCAGTTATTCTTATTTTGTTTTTCTGAATTACAAATTTCTTTTGCCTGGTTTAGATTATTATTATTATTATTGTTGTTGTTATGTTATGCTGGGATGAACTATATCCTACTTGTTCAATACTGGTGCCTAGTGCTATGCCCAACCACAGACCATAACCAAAGAATGCAAATGTTTTGTTTATATGCTGTTTGTGTATGTATCTGTATTTAAAAATTTCCTATGTGACATGTGTTCAGTATGGTTGCTTTCTGTAATGTGATATACAGTATGTGCTGTTTAACTTGTTAAGCCTAATTTTTCTAGACTTTAATGTATGTAGTATGACACCTGTGCAAGTAAGGATTATTGGCACAATAAATACCTTATCCATTCTCCAAAGATGCTTTATTTCATGAGCATGTCCTGAATATTTACTAAATTTTTTAGTGTGTATTTTGTATGTTCTGGGTGTTTGGAACATCCATGTCTATGTTATATGTGTTTTGTTTGTTGATGAATGTGATGTATGTTTATGTGCTATATGTGTTGTCTGTGATTATGGCGTGATCATGATAACTTATATTTTGAGTGTGTTGTTTTTTTTTTTTTAAATTACCCTGGGTGTGAAGTTTGGTTGTTGAATGTGTAATTATACGTTTGCAAGCTTTTGATGTATTGTTTGCCATTTGGTTATGTTGATGTAAGTTGTGTGGTAAACCTGGTATGACATTTTGTATAATATTGTGCATGATGTGGCATTTCCTACAAGTGTTGTGTTCTTTAAAATGTGATTCCTGTAGTTTCCTGTATTTATGACCTGGTCTTGTAAGGCAATCATGAATCCTTCTGTCTCTCCAGACAGCTGCAAGTCAGCCAGAAGTTTGATGCAGATCTGTCAACGTGATCCTGGCTGAGATCGTCAGGATGTCTACCATGGAGCTCCTTCCAAGCCCAAGACTGGCCTAATGGTGTCTGTGTATTTTGTGTACTGTATTTGATTCATTCAGTGTTGTGTACTTTTAATGGTGTATTGTTTTGTTTGCAAGAGTTACAGTTTTATCTAATTGTGGTGTTTCTTGTTTTTTATACTATTATTCCTGTTACTAGTATTGGTGTCTTGAAAATTTGCTAGAAGTTCTGGTTCTCATTTTTCATTCAGAGTTTATTTTTTTATTTAAAATATATTTTATTAGCAAGTTTTACCAGATTACTGTTTTCCTACCCTTGTGTGCAACTGTCTTTCACTTTATGAAAAATATTTAAGTTGATCATAATTCAAGTATCCCTACTTAACACTTATAGAGCAATATGTAAGCAGTCCAAACTCAGTCAAATTTTGTTTATGGAAGATATTTCCACATGAAAAAAAAATTAGTTCTAAAACTCATTACTATGGAACTTATGCTACTGCAAATGATAAAAAGCCTTGACATACTTTCTTAAGATGATGTAGTTCAACTCACACATGTAACAATAGCATTGTTTTCATTAAACAGCTTCAAAGAAAGGCATATTTAAGTGAAATTAATATCCTTACTGTTGGTGTGCAGTAATATGAATGATATTTCATGCATTATAAGTAGTTTTATTCCCAGAAATTGTCCATAGCCAGCCATTTGCCTTATGCCACGTATTTTTTACCACTTGCAGTACCACAAGTTCTGTAGTGGCAAACTACAGAACTTGTGGTAGTTTGGATTCTTCAGCTTACAAAATTTGGTTGAGTTTGGACTGGTGTGTATCTTTCCAGACAGCATTGAATAAGGGTACATTAATTATAATCACCTGATATATTTAGATCTTAGGTTTTATGATATTAATACTTTGAAATGTTTCCTTCAGAAATTTAATTTCTTGTGCAGCTTTTTTATCTTTACTTTCTTCTATATATGTCAATAATAGACAATGTTTTATTTCATTAATAAATTTTTTAATTTCGAATATCTTCACTAATGAAATTTGATTAAATTAGGCAAATTATCTTATTTTTATTATCTCCTTGCAATATTTTATGCATAAAATTAAATATATATATTTAGTCATAATTTTAAGCAAATAATGTCCTAGCCATTGTGGTATTTTTCTATAGTGTACTTATATATGTCATAAATGGTGCCTATTATTATAGATTGTTTGTTTGCTACTGTTATTGATTTACATTTTATAATTGCTCAATAATGATTCATTTACATTTTTACTTCTGAATTGACTGTACATGACAGTTATCTTATTCTTGTTATTACTTAGTAATAACTATTTGGTAGTAGTTATTCTTGTAAGTACTTAAACTGACAAAGGTTCTATGGGGTGGTAGAAAGTAACTAAGCATTAAGAAATTGCTATTATTTTTGTAACAATAATGCAATCATAATAAAATTTGTGTGTGCATGTACATCAATTAATGGAATTTCATAATTCCTGTATTGGTGGTGTGGGAAGAGATCGAGGAGATCTCAAAAAAGGTCAACTACTTGTCTGTTCAGGGGCATAGTGTGCCACAATCTGCAGCACGTGCAGATTGTGGCACACTATGAAGTGTTGAAAATCAGTGGTTGCTGTGCAGAGACGATGGTATACAGTGAAGAAACATCATGCCACAATCTGTCTGGAAACAATCAAGAATTGTCATTCAAAGCTGACGATCACAGGTTTGGTGCAGACATATAGAGAAATGGCTGTCCATCCACATCACGAGCACTGATCATTTGAGGAAGTTGGTGGATGGCACTAGTGCCTACATTGAATTTTAAATTATGCATTCATATTTCTATTTAATAAGGTACATATCAAATAACTTTCATTGTTGTTGCATTACAAATATAGAAATTATAGATATATTTCAATATCTAGTTATTTTCTACCCACCCTGTATTGAATGCATATTTTAATTTGTTCCCAGTTCCTAATAAAACATGTTCGAGAAATATTCATAAAACATTGATAATTTTCTACATTATAATCTTTGTTTCAGATTTTTTTTCCCAGTTATTAGACCAATCACACAAACTGAAATCATTTTTATCTTGTAAACAGTTATTTTTACTTCAATTTTATATTTCTTTTCTCTTTGTAAATCTTGAGTTGAACACAAACATGAATAAAGCATTTTAGTTTAATGGAAAATATAATTATTTATTATAATATATAAATAAATATTTTAAGTAGTCAAATAGAGTATTTTATATTGTGCTAAATGGACAGAATAATGAATAGTTATTTACAAGTATATTAGGGAGAGTAATACAGGGTGATTTTTATTCATGCAAAACTTTAATTAGTTTTCAACTGTATGAGATAAAAAGAAATTTCAAAATGATTACCTTTGTTTGCAATAATAGCTTTTAAATGATTTTTGAAACATTCAATAACAGTAATAAAGATCTTTTTCGGAATCACCATTATTTCTTTTTTTATCATGTCTATCAACTCTTTAATAGTTGTAGGTGCATTGTGATATACTCTATCTTTAAGATAGCTCCATAAAGAAAATAACATGGCTTTAAGTCAATGCTATAAGGCAGCCACTTCACATCACTACCAGCATATTTTTCATAATCTAATCTGATTACACTCTTCTCAAACATGATGTAAATCTGAACACTTGCTTTGTGTGATGGAGCCTTGCACTGCCTTGCATAAACCAAGCATGATGATGTTTATGCCCAACAAGCATTTAGGGATAAAACTTCTTTTCCAATAATTCAACATATGCAGCAGAAGTAATATGTTCTTTTTGAAGAAAAATAGTCCAATAACTCCACTAGCACTAATAGCATATCAGTTGGATGATTAAATTTTTGATAATAATTCTTTACAATAAACACATATTGTTCTAAAGTGAGTGCCATCATTTTGAAAATGATTGTTAACATTAATCAATCATTGACATTAGCAATGTAAACATTGTACTATATAGTACAGTATTTTTTGAATTTTATTTTTATCTCATTCAGTTGGAAAGCTATTAAAGTTTAAAGTTCTGCAAGATTTAAAAATTAACACTAGGAGTACTGGACAACTCAGTGTACCTAAAGTACCATATGCTGGTCAATTGGCCTACCTTAAAAATATTAGATATCTTTGTAAAATTTCTATCAAATTTAATCTTAAGTTGCTGTTCTTTTTAATTCTCATCTTTATTGCTAAAAGTAAATGAAAATAACAAAACAGTATTGATATTCAGTTATTGTCTGCTTTTTCATATTCAGTACAGATGACAGCAGTAATTCTACACTTATCACATGTATATTTATTACATTTTGAGCAAATGTCTTCAGTTTCATTGACATTTCTTCTGCAGAACTGACCTCAACTAGCTTTTCATTTTCCCCAAGGATGATGAGGGTGTTGGGTTTTCTTGGTTATGTTTTTGTTTCTTACTGATGTAGGCTACTCTGAGTTCTTCAGAGATTTTTTTTTTAATTTTTGTGTAATCTTTTCTCTTGTAATCTAAATATTCAGTGTATGTGCATTTATGCCAGCCAAGTCTAGAATGTTATAAAATACATGCATTGGGCCATCTTCTGGAACATTCTCTTATGCTGTACATCCTTGCCATTTGGTCAACTATGTCAAGTCTTGCCTTAATTTCATTGTAATATAATATGATTTCTGAATTTTTTCGGATTATTCTTTGCATTGAACTCAGTAACAACACTTTTTTCTGTTTCTTTGCAAGGTAAATTGTTAATGTTACTTCGTCATTGGTTTTCAATGCTACATTCATTGTCACAGCTCTGTGTACTGACTACAGCTTGTGAACTTTTGTAGATCAAAAATGCATCATGCTACAAGCATACAAAATTGACAGAAAAAGACTCTACTTCTTCATAGGTGGTGGACCACATTGTGCTATATTGTTGACAATGAGCTTCTGCCTCCGTATAGTTTTTTACTGTGCAAATAATTTTCTCATCCACCAAAAGTTTGAAATAAGAGATTATGTTCCTGCCTACATTTCTTCTAGCATACCCATTTACACAAGTCTGAATATAGTAAGAGACTGTTTTTTATGTGAATCTGGTTACTTGATGCAGGTGTCCATAGAGCTCCATCACGACTTTTGTAATTTTCTGATGAATGTGTTGGAATTTCTTCAGGTTATTCATCACTTACCTCTGGTTTGAATATTCATCGGAAAGCACCTGAAATGCTAAATCCTCCATCCGAGTATCTTCATCACATGACTCAGTTTCTTCAGTTTGATGAAGATGGGTAATTATTTCCTCAGGAGTGATCTTTGTCTTTTGTCCTTTGAAATGTTTTTACACTGTTGCCAGGTAAACAAGGCTTTCTGTTGAGGAAAACTATTAACTATCAGTCTTGGAGAGTGGATGCATTCAAATTTCTCAATCAGAAACTGTGATGTGATAACTGTAATGAAGATTTGCATGATTTTTTATGTTGGTCAGATGACCAGCTTGCAGTGTAAATGTGGGGAAAATATAAAATTATTTCAAAAAACTTTTCATATGAAAGAGCATAAAAAGTTAGGTGACTTTTTGAAATATAAAGAAAAAATATCAAATAGTAACAAAAAGTTGTATATACTTGTTGTACTGTACCTTTCCACTATATTGGCCTCTTTATTCCTAGACTTATTACACCATCACTGGACACAAGATCAGCCTTAGAAAATCATTTTATTTTCCCAAAAAACTATGCATTTTGGACCTTAATTTATTAAGTCCCTCATCGGCTTTTTTAAAAAATATTTATGAAATTGCCACATCCATATCTATGAAATGTACAGTATGATATCAACATTTACCAAATGTTGATATCATAATGTTGTGCATTTTAAATAAGCATACTCTAAACAACATATCAGTATATTTAATTATATATATAATGATTAGATTTGTGATCAGTACTTTACGAAATGTTGATATCATACTGTGCATTTCGTAGATGTGGCAAATTCATAAATATTTGCAAAAAAAAGCTGATGAGGTCCGAAATGCATACTTTTTTGGGAAAATAAAATGATTTTCTAAGAATGATCTTGTGTTCAGTGACGGTGTAATAAGTCTAAGAATAAAGAGGCCAACATAGTGCTCACAAGTATATACCAAGGCTAGACAAGAAGTGTATTATAGTAACAAAAAGTTGATAATTTAAAAATGGAATACAAAGGCCGGTCAATTGACCTGTCTCAGTATTTTTAGTTTAAATATATTTTATTTTCTTATATTAGTACTGTATATTTATTGTTTTTGTATTTATATGGAAACTATTAATTTTATAGGGAAACTAATTAAAAATATAGTCCAAACAAGCAACAGATTATTCTAAATCTAATTTTTTGGCCATGATGATGGTCTGTACATAGGCCAAAAATGTTAGGTTTAGAGCAGTTGTTCCCAATTTATTTTCATTGCAGAATCCTTTTCATCTCAATATAAGGTTTTGAAATATGAAAATTTTTACTGTTTGTTTATAGAACAGATAAAAAATTATTTATTTAACATAAAAAAGGATAAATAATGTAAAAGGAAATAATTTTAAATTCAAACTGGTAATTAATGTGGAGGATCAATTTTTGGGAGCTCAACTAGTGGGAGAACTGAATGCATTTGATTTTTTAAAAATTGCTAAATGAACATCCAGTACAGGCATACCTCGACTTACGTCGGTTTCGAGTTACGTCGTTCCCGATTATACGTCGCTTGTTAAAAAAGTATATGGAAAAATAAAAACTCGACTTACGTCGGTTTCGAGTTACGTCGTTCCCGATTATACGTCGCTTGTTAAAAAAGTATATGGAAAAATAAAAATCAAGTTTAAGTCATTTTATTCGACTTTACGTCTGTCCGCCACAAATATTGAAGTCGTAATATCACTAGATAAACGTTTAAAGCACATAAAATCATATTAAAATATATACAAGTATGTACTGTATTTACAGTACACGCATTCGTAAATTTAGATTACTTTTTTTGTACTATATTAAAAACTAAAATTTATT